CCAGTTAAATAAGTTTCCGGAAAGTGAAAGAATCTTTACAATCAATGTTGAGACGTTGGTAGAAATTGTTGCAAAAGCTGATTATATTTCTGTGATTGGGAGAAAAGGAGGGCTTGATCAGATTTTAATTAAAGAGGAACATCGCCCTTATACATCATCTACTTGCCCTCAGGGAATTTACCAACTCAGAAAACTAGCACCTGAAATGGAAAATACCTATGTTACTTTTCAGAAATTGGTTGATGAATTCTTTGGTGATTTATGTTATGTGATTGGCTATGTAGGCAACCTTGTAATTTGCAGCCCTGATCCAATTCAAGCAAACCAAAATGCTTTGTCATTCTTAGAGAAGCAGAGACATCGAAGCCCAAAATTAATGCAGTGGTATTTCAGATTGCAAAAATATAATTTTGATGTTGAACATCTACTGTTAATTCCCCATTGCTATTGCATAGTGATGTTTTTAAAAAAGCTGATTGGCCACCAGGTAAAGAAAATCGCCGCCTGCAGTGTTTCCGCGCCCTTTCTTCGCTTACTGGGCAGCAAAAATGGCGGCGGCATGGAGGATTTTCGCAGAACAGTAAGTTTTTTTGCCCATAGGAACACATTAAACATGTTTTAATGCATTCCTGTGGGCTTTTTTGTTCCGCACAGCGACGAATCCATATAGCGATGATTTTTTTGGAACGGATTATCGTCACTATGCAGGGCACCACTGTACTGTGGCATGTCTCTTCTCAGCATTGTAGGGAAACTGCTTGCCCATGTCGTGCTGAAGAGGCTCCAGGTGCTTGCAGACAGAGTCTATCCAGAATCACAGTGTGGATTTTGAGCTAATAGATCCACCACTGACATGGTATTTTACCTCAGACAGCTGCAGGAGAAATGTAGGGAACAATGACAGCCACTCTTGGTGGCCATCATAGATCTTACAAAGGCCTTTGACTTGCTTAGGAGGGACAGCCATTTTTAAAATATTTCTCAAGATTGGATGTCCACCTTGACTCCTTAACATCATCAGGTCCTTTCATAAGGAAATAAAGGGCACTGTAGTTTTTGATGGCTCAACATCAGATTCCTTTGACATCCGAAGCGGAGTAAAACAAGGCTGTGTCCTCATGCCGACCCTCTTTGGAATCTTTTTTGCTGTCATGCAGAAGCACACCTTTGGAACTGCAACAGAAGAAGTCTATCTCTGGACTAGATCAGATGGAAAGCTCCTTAATCTCTCTAGATTGAGAGCGAAGACCAAAGTCTAGCTGAAATACATGTGGAACTTCCTCTTCGCTGCTGTTGATACAGCTGTTGTTGCCCATTCTGCTGAAGAGCTCCAACAACTTATAAATTGTTTTAGTAAGGCCTGCCAAGATTTTGGATTAACAGTCAACTTGAAGAAAGCACAAGTCATGGGCCAGGGCGTGGACTCACCTCCCTCTATTACCATCTCCACACAAGAATTGGAGGTTGTCAATGATTTCTTGTACCTTGGCTTAACAATCTCTGACACTCTCTCCCTAGATGTCAAGCTAGATAAATGCATTGGCAAAGTAGCTACCATGTTCTCTAGACTCACAAAGAGAGTATGGCTTAATAAGAAGCTGACGGCATATACCAAGATCCAGGTCTATAGAACATTTGTCCTGAGTATACTCCTGTACTGCATTGAGTCCTGGACCCTTTGTGCACAGCAGGAGAGGAAGTTGAACATGTTCCATATGTGTTGTCTCCGACTCATTTTTCGTATCACCTGGCAGGACAAAGTTCCAAATAGAGTAGTCCTAGAATGAGCTGGAATTTTTAACATTCTCACGGGCATGTCGTGAGAATGGCTGATGGTCAGATTCCAAAAGATCTCCTGTATGGAGAATTAGTGCAGGGAAAGCGCCCCAGAGGGAGATTATAGCTGTGATGCAAGGATATCTGCAAGCGGGATCTGAAGGCCTTAGGAATGGACCTCACCAGATGGGACACCTTGACATCTGAGCGTTCAGCCTGGAGGCAGGCGGTGCAGCATGGCCTCTCCCAAATTTGAAGAGACCCTTGTACAGCAGGCCGAGGCAAAGAGGGAGTCCTGAAACCAGCAATATCAGGGAGCCGGACAGGAGTGAGATTGTATTTGTCTTCAGAGTGGAAGGGATTGTCGCTCTCAAATTGGCCTTCTCAGCCACACTAGATGCTGTTCCAAATCCTCTATTCAGAGCATGTTATTTCTCAAGACTAAAGGATGCCTACTCCTAGTTGCTCTCTTCTTATTTCACTGTGACAAACACTTAGCTGCCCCTATGTATACGTATTTGGCCCTTCACAGGGATTCTTATATCCCTCTCCCCACAGCAATCCTTTAGGCTTTGAATTCAGCACCATCTGCCTTGAACTGAGTTACATAATCTTTTTTAAGAACCAGTCTGGTTCTTCCTTAAAAGAAAATATTAATGTTGTCACCTCTTTCAGGTTTCTAGTTAACTATTTTTCTACAATTTTCCAATTTCTTTAGTACAGTTATTTCATTCTCTTCTTATGAGTATTCCTAATTTTTAAAAGTTTTAAAATGCAGTTGGTACTTTATATTATGTTTGGTGTTTTTTCTGTCTTGAGGGATCATATTGATATTGAACTACAGCATCTTGGCTTTATATAATTCATGTCCAATTCTGTGTATACTCCAAGTTTCTCCAAGATGTTTTGCACTTCTAGGATTGCTGATAAGTTTGTTGCATGTAACAGGTCATGTACAAATCATTTTATTTTATATTCTCATGTGTTTGCAATTGCTGTTTTTATTGTGGGTTTCTGCTTCTTTGTATTTACTAGATATACATATTCTACTATAAACAGTAATGGTGACAGTGGCCATTCTTCTTCCATTCGTGTAACTTTGTGTTTGTGAATTTCATCCATCCTTCTGTCTATCCAACCTATTTATTTAATACTTAGGTTTTAACTGTCTTTTCCAAACACACACACACAAAGATTCTAGAGTTCCTCTAAAATAGGGGTCTCCAAAGTACGGCTGCAGGCCATATCTGGCCTACCTGGCCATTTTATGCAGCCTGTCCGTCCGTTATTGTGTCCATGCATACGGGCGGGCATGTGTGCGGGTGTGTGTGCAGGTGGGTGGGAGTGCATGCATGTGTGTGTGCGCGCGAGTGGGCGGGTGGGAGTGCATGAGTGTGTGCGGATGGGTGGGAGTTTGTGCATGCATGCATGCACATGGACATTCCTTCGGCCCTCAAAAATATCAAAAACTTATTATGTGGCCCTCTGTATGAAAAGTTTGGAGACCTCTGCTCTAAAACCTCTTAATGTGTATTTTATTACTCTGATTGCTTCTTATGTGTGGCAGGTTATCCTGAGTTAATCCATTACAATAGGATCTAGTTGGTGGTGATTTCCAAGTGTGCCTGGAGGTCTCTTATGTAAGCCATATCATATTTCAGGATCTAAGAAGCTCTGTATTGAAAATTTGCAGCTTCCTAGGGAAGAAGCTGACTGAAAAGGAGGTAGATGAAGTGGTGGATAAGGCCACATTTGATAAAATGAGGAAGGATCGAAGGGCAAACTATAAGCACTTGTCATCTGAGCTCGTAGATCACACAAGAGGAAGCTTTCTTCGCAAAGGTAAGACTGTGGCCAGTCCAAGGACTTGTCTACATGGACTCTTTTGGAGCGGGCTGGTGTGGACTAACTGGGGTGATGGGTTCAGGTAGAGGTGTGATACACCATTTGATGTGATCCTTGCATATCAGAGTTAAAACAACCCTATTGGTTCTGGCTCCTTCCAATGGTAATTTCTAATATCATGAAGCGACTTAATAAGGGAGCCACTTCAGGATTTTGGCAAATTATACACTTCTGCTTCTCAGCAATGGATCTGTGGATTTGACTGTGGAGAGTTTCTCGACCAGCCTTTAAGACATACCAAAGAAAGATTTATTTTCCTTTTTAATAAGTGATCTAGTGCATTTTCACTACCATAATAAATTCTAAAATATTTTTCACTTCCTTTATTCCATCCACTGAGAAGAGGAAGTGTTCAATTTGTTGATCTCCTGAAATGGCTCTTGTATTAAGCTGGTTCACAGTATTGGAAATATTGGAACTAGGCAGGTTCTCTAGATGTTGTCTGTTAGTCATCTTTAGGAGCAAACCAGCCTATCCCTATAGTGGTTCAAACAACGAGCTAAATTCTGATGTAGTCACGCCTTAACTCACTGTTGGCAGTTGTAGAATATCCAGAGTTGATATCTGACACTTATGGTGTCATGCTGTACCAATTTCGGTTCTCTAATAATATTGACTAAAATTGTGTGTTATTGTTTTATTTGTAAGCACTGAAATGAAACAGGGCTATATAAATTATCTAATGTAATTAAGTATGTAAAGTGATATTGCTTACTAGTTGGACAGCCAGAGCTATTCTATAATTCCACCACAATTAAAAGTATAGTCTAACCATGAAGAAGTGGCAGTAACATAGCTGTGATTCTGTAATGTCTCTATAAAGTACAAGATCTGCATATTCTAAGCAGGATAAGGTGAACAAAGCAGTAACATTTCAGTGATTCTGACGTGTCACACTGTTGTCAAAGGCAGAAAAGGTAAATAAGACTCTCTCTCTGATTTGTCTACAAGGTGTTGTTGGAGACTGGAAAAACATGATGACTGTTGCCCAGAATGAAAGATTCAACCATGTTTTTAAGAAAAGAGTGGAAAAGCTACCCTTCAAATTCTGCTGGGATATGAGCTTGAATTGACAGACCTTTCTCATTTGCCTTGTACATAATTCTGATTTTCAGAAACATGCTACTTCTTTTTCTTTCAAATCAATATGTGAATTTTTTTACTAACTGTGCTTTGTGTGCATTACTCACATTGTATGTTATTTTTCTAAATTATCACTGGGTGAGAGTACAGTGATGTTCTTGTGCAGCAGAGTAAATCAACATTCTACAAGGCAATTATAAAAATGGGAGCAGCCCAAAGAAACATTTATAACATTGAAACTGGACTTTGCATCAGCACTAAATCTGGCACATATGTAGCATGCAGAATTTTCTTGTTCTGTCCCAAATTTGAGGAGGTTTGGACAAAGGGTTTTTAAGTTACAAGTTTTGAAACATAAAACTTTTTAAACTCCTCTGCAGAAATAAGTGACCTTAAACACACACAAATTAAAAACAAATGAAATAAACTGAAAAGACCAAGATTGCATATCTTGAAAGAGAATGGTTGGTCTTATCTTTTTTTATTTGGAATAAATCCAAGTTGGAGGAGCTGAAATACTTCTCTTTTTAAAAAGTGAGGAAAAGGTGATACAGTTATTAACTGAGCATATGTAGAACAAGCTTACCAGCAAGGGCATTCCAAAGTAAATACATTGTTGTACCTTCATGACCCCAGAAGGGAAATATTTGGAGTGCAATAAAACATCACAGAAAAATCAAAATGTAGGTTTTCTTTGAACATTAAAAAAAAAGTGGCTTGCTTTAGAGAAAATAATGGATTGATGGTGCTCCAATAAGGGACACTTTGCCATGTATCTCCAGGGAATTGGCATACAATTTTATAAGGCATATTCAAAGTATTTCTGCATTAGAAAAGCACAGATCAGTTCTGTTTGTTCCAGTTCTTGGTGTTTTCAATGAACATTCTTTCAGGATTTCTTCAAAGTGTAAATCAGCTCCAGGTCTGGGGCAATCTGAACTTTTCATCCTGTCAGTCAGGACTCTATTTGCTGACATCTGAAATTAAGTTTAAAAAAGGAGTGATAAAATTTAATAAATTTAATGAGATATGGGGTGACTTTAGAAATGTCATACTGAATAAAGGAAAAGGGCAAAAGCCAGGTCAAGAATATATATATATATATTTCTGGAAGGGATAAGGGATCTTTTAAAAGAAGCAGAAAATGTTGTTTTAAAATATATCTCTGTATTGTATTAATGGATGGTCCATTAATACAATACCCTGTAATGGGGTGCGGGATGCACTGTTGTCTTATCTTGAGGGTTTTTTGTGTGTGTTTTTGTATGTAAACAAATTTAATTTAATTTTTTAAAAATCTGCTAAAGTCCAAAAAATTTGCTGACTCTCAGGCGGAGAACTTCTTAACTCTTTCCTGGCCAAACAGGCATTTGTGCTGACAAAGTGATTCTTTGTCTGCTTTATCTGGGCATCCTAGTAAGTTAACGTAAAGATTTTGGATTGCAGTGCAGAAATATATGACTTAGGCTTCTGAAAAATTCATCTCCTAACAGGTTCAGCCTCTGCCAAAATAGAATTCTCAATAATCTGTCCTGGACTGTTGCTGTGACAGAACACTGGAATCCCTTTCAAGCATTCCACAAAGGGTGAATAGAAAACACAAACCTGGAGAGAGTTCTAGACCCCTACCTGTCACTGGGCCTGTCCACAATGGCACGTAGATCATTGTATTGATCACTAGTGGCATTATTTGGATTAAGCCAAATGACAGCATCCACATGTGTTTCCACTTAGAGTGATCCATCCTTCCCCTTTAAGAGCAGTCATGCACCTGTCTTGCACAGTGCTGGGGCATGCATTCTTTTTTGCACAATTCAGCACAACCCAGATCTTGTTTGGTCTACGCAGAGAGATTATACCTTGCACTAAAATGGAACTGATCATAACGTTAACTCTGGTGATAACCTTGTGACATATTCGGTGGGTTGTGACACTGAAAGGTAAAATTCTTCCTCTAATTTTGTCTTCTTTTGTTCTTAATATTTCCCTAACCGATGCACCAGATTTCTAATACCATGCTAAGTTGATGCATTACCATTTTGATATACCATACATGTTATTTAATAGCAAAAAAGAAAAATAACAAAAAAGAGAAAATTCACCTCAGCCCCCTGAATGATGGCCACAAGGAAAGACAGAGAAAGGGGCTATGTTGACTTCCACTCCACAAGGAAGCATGGCCCTAGGAAAGCCCCAATTATAAATCTGTGTGAATCTGTAACAAGAGAGAAGAGGACCTGTAGCATGATTGCCAGGGTATCGCCAGGGTGAACAGAAGGAATCACTCAAGTGAGAATTAAAACAGATCACAATTAAGATGAGAACCTTTTGAGCATGGACCAGGCCACACCAACTTTCTCAGGGTGGACAGGCCCACTTTCTCCAAAGGGAGGGCAGCCATCTGGAGAGAGCATGACCAACGACTGGGATGTTCACAATCTCCAACGAGGGGAGGAGGAGCCACATGTAGCAAAGGCAGTTCTCTTCAGTTCTGGAGGGAGTGGCAGGTGGGAGGGGTTGACTTTCAATCTTTCCCTGCTTACACATTGGAATATGTTTGATCCCATCTGTTGAGGTCCATTCCTAAGGCCTTCAGATCCCGCTTGCAGATGTCCTTGTATTGCTGCTGTGGTCTCCCTCTGGGGGGATTTCTCTGCACTACTGGATTAATTTACATAAGTGGGAACATAGGTGATTGGAAAACAAAACAGCAGCAGCTTTAGAGAGTTTCTAGCTTAGATGAGCTTTGGATCTGGACACACACACTTCATATGTTTATTTGTTCATATGCCACACAGAAATGGAAATACTGCAGGTCAGTCCAGTTCTTTAGAACTCTCACACTTGATATTGCCTTGATTGTTTCAGTAATCAATTCCAAATAAACCAACAGGGAATTATGTTGTAGGGCAATTGGACAACATTGGCCTTCAACACAGATTTTGCAATAAAAATGACGAAGTCTGATTTTGTCTGAACTTGTTTGACTCCAAGGGCAAAAAGAGTTTATAAGGGAACAAAAGTTCTAAAGGGTAAACTGGTTGTTTTTTTCCTGCTGATGTTATATAACCCAAGGATAGAAAGAGTTACAAAAGGACAAAATAACAAATAGAACGTATGTGAACAAATTGCTCAATAAGAAAACTTATTGCTCACTAAGAACAAATTGCTCAATAAGAAAACAAGAAGAACACCCCTGTAAAAAGAAAGTGGAGTAAACAAGTTAAATGATCAGTGCAAGCATTCATGAATTAAAATGTGTTTGTCAAAATAATAAATGAATGACCAAAAAGCTCATAGCCAAAACTGTAACATAAAGTTCTAGGAGAAAATGAGCAGCATTCCCTTTGATGTGCCTAGCAAGTTCTATATGAGTGGCAACCAAGGGATGACCAGATGACAGTCCAATAAGCTGTTCACCACTCAGGGCAACTCGACTATCATACAGCACATACTCCACATACATAGCATAGACATAGCAGGAAGCAGGAAGGAATCTGCTATCGATTCATTGCACTACTCAATACACATCCTGCTCACTTTCAATTACTCTAGGGGGAAAATCACATGGAGATGTGTGAATTCCATTTTGGAACCATTCCAAAAAGTAATAGTATTTAAATCATATGGACTTCAGTCCATGTGGCTCCAATCTTTATCCGTAGCTCTTAAACAATATCAAACATGAAGAGAATTGTCCAAACATCAAAAGGTTGCATGTATAGCCCTGGTCTTGCAACGTATCCGTGATTAGGGTTAACATGCAGAATGTGATGCAAGGCTGTGGTGTCAAATACTATAGCAAATCTAGCCTTCTCAGACCCATGATGCCTTTATTGTTGCTCTGAGCCATCAAGTCCCATCTGACTGATGGTGACTCTAAAATGGTTTTCAAGGTGTGTGAGATATTTAAGAGACAATTTTAGTATGCAATCACCTTGTAGGTTTTTATGGATGAATGGGGATCTGAATGCAGGTCTCCTGAGTCCTAATCCATCACACTATCCACTATAAGATACTGGCCCTCTAAGATGCCTTCGTATGTCCTGCGATTCACGGGAGGTTGATCTTCACCCCCTCTTGAGAACACAGTTCTTCTAGGTGTACCATGGAAACATTCTTCCACTTCAGTATATTCATATACGGGCTGTGCACAACACCTCTTTACAACTCTCTCACACAATGAAAACTATCAATCATGCACCCAGTTCATGAGTTTGTAAAATGTAATAAACATAAACTTCCTTACCAACAGTAGAAATATGCTGTGCTAGGCAAATATGAACTGTGTACTTCCAATGAACCTTCAATAGCAAATAAAACAGGCTAAATAGCACACACATTCACAGTCATAAAGAAAAGCAGGGGAGGGGAAAAAAGAAAAGAAAAACAGTTAGCAATATTTGTACTGATTAGCCAAATGAGCATCATTATCACCTTAAGACCAAGGACTCAGCAAATACTCTTGAAGCGGTGTGGTCTTCTGCAATGATTTACTTTACTCCAACCTTCCCTTTAAGTATTTGGATGCTGGACAGTTCAGATCCCTGAGGAAGAACTCCTAAACGTTGGCTTTGGGGAAGGGCCTGAAGACCCACCTGCCCCGATAAGCTGAAATACTTCAAGTCTTAGAAGAGTCTTCTCTGACTTTTCCAAACAATTTGAGGAGGTAGGTCTGCTTTACATCAGACTTTACCGGCTAGCTTACTGCATGACAGTAACAAGAGCAGGTCAACGTCTCTGGTCTATGTTTTCAGGAGCAGCATCTGATTTCATCAGATTGCATGGAAATTCATGTCATAATAATAATCTTTTCCCTCCCCCGCTTTCTGAGGCCTGAGAGAATACACTTTGAGAGCCCTGGAGAAAAGGCAAGATATTAAGGAAATAAACTAACATAACATAAATAGACAGATATAGCAGTACATTTTAAGATACAGATATTCATTGAAAGCTTGATGGTTAGATAGTTATATAAGGAATACTGTATCTTAAAGACGTTATTTGTGTAAAATTTTAAAAAAATTACTTCGCATATGACTCTGACTCTGTGTGCATATGACGTTTTCTGCCATAGAAGATGCTAAATGGTTTTGGAGAAACATTAGGAAGGCAGGGTGTTTTAGGATGTGACCTTTTTAAAAAAACAATTTTAAACAATTTCAACATCCTTAGTTCTATTTATTATTCCTCCGCTTCGTCTTTTTCATCTTTTTTGTCCATATCTGCTGGAATTGTACAGAACTAATACTTTCATTTTTGTTCCTTTTTGGATTTTGGGGATTATGCCTTTTTTTGGTTGTTCTGTCTTTCATGCATGGTTTATTTTATTTAATTTTATATGTATGGAATCATTGCCCTGCTAATGTTATTGACTGAAAATCATGATCATTTTCTGTATT